CTCCCGGGTTCATGCCATTCTCATGCCTCAGCCTCCTGAATAGCTGGGACTATAGGCACCCACCACCACGCCTGGCTAATTTCTGTTTTTGTTTTGTTTTTGAGACGGAGTCTCGCTCTGTCGCCCGGGCTGGAGTGCAGTGGCGCAATCTCGGCTCACTGCAAGCTCCGCCTCCCGGGTTCGCGCCATTCTCCTGCCTCAGCCTCCCGAGTAGCTGGGACTACAGGCGCCCGCCACCTCGCCCGGCTCATTTTTTTGTATTTTTTTAGTAGAGATGGGGTTTCACCGTGTTAGCCAGGATGGTCTCGATCTCCTGACCTCGTGATCCACCCGTCTCGGCCTCCCAAAGTGCTGGGATTACAGGCTTGAGCCACCGCGCCCGGCCGCAATGTTACAGTCTTAATGCAGAATTTCTTCCTCAGGGAAACCTCGGTTTTGCTCTTCAGGCTTTTCAAACCATTAGATGAGGCCCACCAACATTATTGAGACAATCTCCTTTACTTATAGTCAGCTGACTAGATGTTAACTGTGCCAGCAAAATAACCTTTATAGCAACATCTATATTAGTGGGATTTTTGTTTGTTTGTTTTTTGAGACAGAGTCTCCTTCTATTGCCCAGGCTGGAGTACAGTGGTGCAATCTGGACTCACTACAACCTGTACGTCTTGGGTTCAAGTGATTCTCATGCCTCAGCCTCTCAAGTAGCTGGGACTACAGGCACGTGCCACCACAGCTGGCTAATTTTTGTATTTTTTTCTTTTTAGTAGAGACAGGGTTTCCCCATGTTGGTCAGGCTGGTCTCGAACTCCTGATCTCAAGTGATCCACCCGCCTCTGCCTCCCAAAGTGCTGAGATTACAGGTGTGAGCCACTGTGCCTGGTCTATATTAGTGTTAGATTGAATAACTAGGTGGTATAACCTAGCCGAGTTGATAGAAAACTAACCATCACACTATATAGTGTTAGATTGAATAACTAGGTGGTATAACCTAGCCAAGTTGATAGAAAACTAACCATCACACTAAGATTGAAATGTCCATTAGATATTTCGAGGCAGTTATAAATAAGTCTGGAGTTTAGGAGGAGGGATCCATCCTAGAAATATCAATTTTTAAAAATAGTAGGCCCGGCGCGGTGGCTCACACCTGTAATCCCAGCACTTTGGGAGGCCGAGGCAGGAGGATCACGTGAGGTCAGAGTTTGAGACCAGCCTGGCCAACATGGTGAAAGCCCATCTCTACTAAAAATACAAAAAATTAGCCAGGCATAGTGGCTGGTGCCTGTACTCCCAGCTACTTGGGAGGCTGAGGCAGGAGAATCATTTGAACCTGCGAGGCAGAGATTGCAGTGAGCCAAGATCATGCCATTGCACTCTGGCCTAGGAGACAGAGTGAGACTCCATCTCCAAAAAAAAAAAATAAATAAAATAAACAAAAAATAAATAAAAATAGTAAAATACACATAACATAAAATTTACTATTAATAACATTAATATGTAGACAATATTGTGCAACCATCACCACTACCTAGTTCTAGAACATTTTCATTGCCCAAAAGGAAACCCTGAACCCATTAGTTACTTTCCATCCTCTCCCTTAATCTCCAGACTCCTGGCAATCACTTATCCACTAAACTGCTTTTTGTCTCTATAGATTTGTCTATTCTGGTTATTTGGAATAAATAGGATTACATAATATGTGCCCTTTGTATCTGGTTTATTTCACTTAGCTTAATGGTTTCAAGGTTCATCTATGTTGTAGCACACATTCATTCCTTTTTATTGCTTAATACTATTCCACTGTGTAAATATACCACATTTTGTTCACCCATTCATGGGTTGATGGACATTTGAGTTGCTTCTACTTTTGGCAATTGTGAATAGTGCTGCTAAAAATAAACATTCGTGTATGAGTTTTTGTTTGAATGTCTGTTTACAATTGTATTGGGTATATACCCAGGAGTAAAATTGCTGAATCATATGCTAATTTTATGTTTAGTTTATTGAGGAACTGCCACTGTTTTCCACAGCAGCTGTAGCATGTTACATTCCCACCAGCAATATCTGAGGGTTCCAATTTCTCCACACCCTTACCAACGCTCATTTTCTGCTTTTTGTTTGTTTTAATTTTAGCCACCCTAGTGGGTGTGAAGTGGCATTTTATCAACTTGATTTGCATTTCCTTAATGACTAATGATGGTGAGCATCTTTTCATGTGCTTCTTGGCCATTTGTATATCTTCTTTGGGGAAAGGTCTATTCAAGTCTTTTGCCCATTTTTCTCTCCTTTTATTTCTTTTATTTCACCTGCGACTATAGACAGGATCCAAAGAGGAGTTTTCCAGTCTCTTTCCTGTGTTTAATGGAGACTTACCTTACTCTTCTGTGTTATTTTTTAATTTGGTTGTTTGTCTTTTTGTCATTGAATTGTAGAGATATCAACTTTGAAATGAACTGACTCTGCAGTCTATGCCTCCTAGCCCCTCATTTAAAGTGCTCCCTCCTCTTCTTTTAAGTCTATATACAGGCAAATAGCTTCAAAAGCTGGAAAAGACCCTTAATGTCATTTTTCTCCACCTTCAGGTTGTCCCCCATTCCTGCAGTTTTTTGAGTTCCCAAACTTCAAAATTGGCTGTGTATCCTCAGTCATTCCTGCTGCATGTTGACCTCTACTATTTTGGCTCTATAAATAATGAGAAATGCGACCAGCACAGTGGCTCACGCCTGTCATCCCAGTGCTTTAGGAGACTGAGTCCGCAGCATCGCTTGAGCCCAGGAGTTCAGGTTACAATGAGCTATGATCTTGCCACTGCACTCCAGCCTGGGCGATAGAGTAATATTGTGACTCTAAAAAACAAAAAAGAGGAAAGAAGAAAAAGTTATATAAAAATCTCACATTAGATTTGTTCTTTTTTTTTTTTTTTTCTTTTTGAGATAGAGTCTCGCTCTGTCGCCGTCCAGTGGCACGATCTCGGCTCACTCCAACCTCCGGGTTCAAGCGATTCTCGTGCGTCAGCCACCCGGGTAGCTGGGATTACAGGCGCGCGCCATCACTCTCGGCTAATTTATTTCGTAGTTTTAGTAGGGACGGGGTTTCGCCAAGGCAGCCAGGCTGATCTCGAACTTCTGACTTCAGGTGATCCGCCCGCCTCGGCCTCCCAAAATTCTGAGATTACCGGTGTGAGCCACCGTGCCCAGTCTTGATTTGAATATAAAGGTTCCAACACCCCCAAACACAAGGTGCCCCTATTTACAACTGGATCTTCAATAAGCGTCTGGTGATTCAATTTCCGCCAATTAGAAAGAGCCCAACCAGAACACGCAGGCGCCTTAACGCTGAGGGCATAACGAAGGTAAAGAAGGCGTGGCTACTGCCCAAATCCAAGATGGCCACCAGGAGGCCGTCCGTTCTCGGAAGGGCAGCCCATCCTCGCTCCTGGGAGGCTCAAAGGCTCAAACGCCATTGGCGGAATCGTCGACAGCTCATCCTCCGCCCCCCGCAGGGGGCGGTAATGACAGAGTCCAAGTTTCCGGTTCCGGCAGTACCGGGAGCCGAGTCGAGATGGAGGAAGATGCGACCGGCGGACGGCATTCGCTGGGAACGACGGATAGACTGGGGGCTGCGGCCTAGAGGTCCGGGCTTGGAGTTCGCCTCAGACGCGGCGGAGCCGCCGGAGTCTGAGAAGGTAATAAGCCACCGGCTCGGGGTCCCTGACAACTAAGGTCTCTGAGGATCTGCACTTGTCAAGGAGGCAAAGGATGCCTGGGGTGCCAGGCTGTGGTGCCATACAGTGGTGCCGTACAGTTCTGGGAATGAAGGACAACTGCTGTGAGGCGTCTCTTTCTGGCAGAGGAGCGTGAGATTCGCTGACAGCGAAGAAGCACGGCAGGGGGCATGCTCGAAGAGCCAGAGTTGGGTGTGCGGGGGCCAGGACAGAGGCTATATAAAGGGGGTGTCCCACGGAGTATCTTGAGAGGATTGTCATGTGTTGTCTGTGATGAGGGATCACGTGGGTACCTATGGAAGACCGAAGGAAAGCTGGCTGGGAATCTCACCATGTCCGAGGTAGGGAGGAGATGATCTTGAAGGAGGGTTCGAAGGCATCCCCAGGCATTCCCCTAGGGAAATGTATATTCAGTAGGACAGGTGGGCAAGCATGTACATATATTCACGTTCATGTGGTAGATAGCTCCCAGGATGCAGATGCAATAGGGAGAACAGAAGGAATAGAGGGTATTGGTCTCTATTATCTGTTTCCAGCTGAGAAGTGGGGACCCATGGATGTCTTGTCAGGAGTTGTAGAAGATGATTTGATTTGAAAAGATCCGAATCGATCAAATGGTCATCATTGTGCTCAGTTCTACTGACAAGTCAGGATGGAGTCAGAGGGCTCCTAACCTACTCATAATGGTCCCAGAGTCCTGGAGTAGTTGTTATAATTCCTTTTTTTTTTTTTTTTGGACACAGAGTCTCGCTGTATTGCCCAGGCTGGAGTGCAGTAGCGCGATCTTGGCTCACTGCAAGCTCCGCCTTCCAGGTTCACACCATTCTCCTGCCTCAGCATCCTGAGTAGCTGGGACTACAGGCGCCCACCACCACGCCCGGCTAATTTTTTTTGGTGTTTTCGGTAGAGACGGGGTTTCACCGTGTTAGCCAGGATGGTCTCGATCTCCTGACCTCATGATCCACCCGCCTCGGCCTCCCAAAGTGCTGGGATTACAGGCGTGAGCCACCACGCCTGGCCATTACAATTCTTATAATGCTGACAATCCTTAATACTTAAAGCAATGCTTCCCAAACTTATATATTATAAAAGTTTGGTTCTTATTCAGCAAGTCTAGGGTGCACCCTGAAATTCTGTATTTCTAACAGGCTCCCAGGTGATGATGTCCATGATGCAAGTCCGTGGACCACCTTGGGTGGCAAGGACTTAGAGCATCACTGTCCAGTAGAACTTTCTGTAATGATAATGCTTTGCTGTTAACAAAATGCCTTCACAATTATTAACTCATATGAGTTGCACCAAAACTCTTATACAGCATTGACAGGCTTTATTAGCCTGATTCAACAGACAAGGAAACTGAATTTCAGTGAAGTGACTTGGTTCCAGTCTTATACTACTGAGTAATGGAAGTGAAATTCAACATGGATCTCCCGATTGCTGGTGTTCTTTCCGTTGTATGACCTTGCCTTCCAGGTGACACTGCCTTCTCTCGAGCCAGAATCTTATCCCAGAACCTAGTGAATAGTCAGTCCCATGTGAATTTTCTGGTATAAGGAGAGTAGAGGTGAAGAGGAGGAGGCATATGCCAATTTGTCCCTTTCCATTGGTGGGGTCAGTAGTGGGAGCTCTGCCTCTAACACTTCACTTGATGACTTCAGGACAAAGCACTCACTAATTCTGGGTCACCTGTTAGGTCCCCAGAGGAAGCACTTCAGCATTTGTGCCTGAGCAGTGTTGAAAAGTAGAAGAAAATCCAGAATTGGAACCATGCACATGAGGGTCTGAGAAAGAGCCCTAAAGAAGTTGGGCTAAGTTGGGAGAAGGGAAGGCTAGAGGAACTTTGCATATGGGTATCTGCAAAGAGGATTTTTCAGAGGGCAAAACAAGAAGAATGGGATTGATATTTCTGCAAGAAGTTTGGAAGTTATGTAACAAAGAGCAGGTTGAGATCCTACGTTTTAGGAGCAGCCTGCCCCTTTTGAAGGGGTAAAGGGAGTGGGTGTAGTGCCCTCTCCCCTTCTGTTGTAGTGGCTTATCCCTCTAAGGCATGACCCTTGGATAGGAGTTACCTGCCTCAGAAAGTCCCCACTTCCTTGTGGGAGTTTAAAATAGATTGGCGTATGTGAGAGATGGAGACAAGGTGGGAAATTGGATCCTGTCTTAGGATTTCTCATCAGGAGATGCTGGTACTTGGTGTTTCAGCTTGATAAATTGAGAAGGTGCCATGAAACCAGGTCCTGGAACAGAATCCCTGGTTGCTCTGTCGTTTAGCTGCTCTGACCCTCTGCCCTGTAGAGCACGCATTTTGCATGTGCCTGGCAGGAGGCCCTCCTGCTTGAACCCAGCTGTATTTGTCTGTGTTGACAAGGTGACTGCTCAGCCACTAAGCTTGGTCACTCCACAGACACACTAGGAAAGCAGAGGCAGTTCTTGGTTTCTCTGGAACAGAGCTGCAAGAACTCTCTGGGCATCTGCATGGCCAGGAGCTTATGCTTAACTGTTGAGTGACCTGCAGCCATAAGGGCATTAATTTTGCCTTCCAGAGGTGGGAATGACTTGGCCTTAAACAGTGATTTGTGTTAGAATTCTTCAAATCCCATAAGGTAGAAGGCATGGTGGAGTAGAGAAGAAATCTTGGCTCATATCTGCCTCTTCCATTGATCAGCTATGTGACCTTGGGCCTGTTACTTTTAATGTATCTGACCCTCCATTTCCTCATTTATCAGAAGTGTCTAACTGTACACAAGTTAAATTGTAAGAATTACATGAGGTATAGACAGTCAGTCAATCCTGTTGTTTCTCTGTGTCTTCTCACCTCTCACTGGTGTTGGAAATATGATCTTGCGACCCTGGATGGCAGCCACTCTGGAGCGGGAGAGACAGTGACCACCTTTTGAAGGGCTCAAAGGAGAATATTATCCCACAGGACTTAGTGGGTCCTCCAGGCTGAGGCTGGGGAGGAGGGCCACCTTTGCCTACAGCAAGTGGCATATCATTGTTCTAGGGGTTCTCTTGACGACAGAACTTTGCCTGCAGCTCATTTTCCACAGCCTAGATTTTCCAGTCTTGCCAATCCAGTTGACTTCTGTCTTCTCATTTCCAAGCCTTTGTTCTCTCCCTTTCACTGTCTACATGGATTATCCTTAATTCAAACTGCTTTGTCCTGTAGGAAGCCTGTGCAGGTTATGTGCACCTCCCTCAATCCTTACCTTGAAGCTGAGGTTTCCCCTCAGCTCTCAAGTACTCAGTTTGCACTGCAGGTAGTCCCTATGTTAACAAAAGTTATACAGTCCAGCTCAGGGAATCCTGAAAAACTGCCCTTGCTTCCATGGTAACCAAAAGGCAGTTCTCATGGAATAAAAGCTACCTGAAGCCTGAGTTAGGACCTTTGGTTGGGGAAGGTGGTTGAGGATGGACTGTGATTAGATGCTTGGCATGAGGTTTGCTAATGGAACTGCTAGTGTAGAATGTTTCAGCCCCCTAGAGTTGTCCCTGTGATGTGGCTACCTCCTTTCTCTGGGATTTCTCTTCAAGTCTGGGGAGCCCCTGCTTCTCACTTCCTGGAATTTATTTTCCCACTCTCCCTTTCTGGCTGAAAATTTCTAGTATCTTACAGAACAGTGGTGGGCTACACTGGAGCACATCGTATTACCACTAAATATGTCTAATAAATTATATCCTCTGATTTGACATTTCCTAAATGTGAAGCTCCTGATTTTATACGGTTTTGAAATTAGTAAGCTTGTTAGTTTTGTTTGAAATTCTAGGCACTGGATACACTTAACATAAGGGCTACATGTGCATTAACATGCTCTTGTTTCCTTCAGTCTGTATCTTTTTTTTTTTTTTTGAGATGGAGTCTCACTCTGTCTCCTAGGCTGGAGTGCAGTGGTGTGATCACAGCTCACTGCAGCCTCAACCTCCCGGGCTCAGGTGAGCCTCCCACCTCAACCACCCAAGTAGCTGGGACCACAGGTGCATGCCAACATGCCCGGCTTTTTTTTTTTTTTTTTTTTTTTTTTGAGATGGAGTCTTGCTCTGTCGCCCAGGCTGGAGTGCAGTGGCGCGATTCTCGGCTCACTGCAAGCTCCGCCTCCCGGGTTCCCACCATTCTCCTGCCTCAGCCTCCTGAGTAACTGGGACTACAGGCGCCTGCCACCACGTCCGGCTAATTTTTTGTATTTTTAGTAGAGACGGGGTTTCACCATGCCGGCCAACTTATTTTTATATATTGTAGAGACGGAGTCTCCCTATGTTGCCTAGGCTGGCCTTGAACTCCTGGGCTCAAGTGATCCTCCCACCTTCACCTCCCAAAGTGTTGGGATTATAGGCGTGAGCCACCATGTCCAGCCTTTTCCTCTGTATCTTGTGTCCATTCCCCAGAGCAATACTGTGTCTTCTTGAACAGATGGTTTCTTGAAGTCCGAGTTCTCCTCTGTCACTTCTCCCCCTTCATTATCTAAGACTGAGGTTGTGGTTTATACGCTTAGAGTTGAAAGCATGTGGTCCAACATGTTCTGTACTCTGTAGTTCTCCAGACTCTCCAGGGAAACTACTTAGCTCTCAGGTGGTTCTTTTCTGTTTTTCTCAGAGTTAGTTATCTAATAACTGAAGAGGACTCTGCCCTTTGACCTGTTCCTGACTTTCTAAATCCTTTTGCTGGAGGAAAAGGAGGTGGTGGTGGGGGGTGCCCTGTGGTGTGAAAGCCCCACTTGCCCACACTTTCTTCCAATGCAGACGGGAGAAAATATCATGTAAATGTAGTGACTGTGGGTCAGGGGAGCTCTGAGAGGCCAACATGGGAAACCGGAGACAAAATGAGTCAGTTGGCAATCAGAGGCACCCTGCTGCGGGTGCACAGCCAAAGGTGATGCCTCCTCAGTAGGCCCAGGAGCATCAAAACTGGAACAGTCCCTTTCAGCCTTCAGGAGCCTCCCAAATGTCACTTAGTGACGTCCCATTCACCTGCTTAAAGGCCCTGCATCCTGTCAGGTAGTTGGTTGGTCCACAGCATCCTGAGCTCTGCCTGGGTGAGCCAGACAAAAAGAATGGTCCCTGGTCAGGGTAGTGACACCAGGGCCCAGAGAGTCAGGATAGAAGATCCTGTAAGCTGGGGTAGGGAGCTGAGGAGGCCATGGAGCCAAGGGAATCACTGAAGTGAGGGACAATTTCTGGAGGAGGGAAACTGAGTAAGGAAGGCCTGGCCAAAGACAGAGAAGGGGACAGTATCCTGATCTATGAAGGAAGACTCAAGTGCGGATTGACAGAGCCAGGTTGGGTGGAGTCCAAGCTTTGGGCAAGTGAGTGTCCTGGAGATGAGGTCTGAGAATGGACTTCAGAGCCCAGCCAGAAGGGGAAAGCACAAAGCTCTGACCTCCTTCTTCACATCCCTCCATGCTGCTCAAATCCCAGGTCTTCAGGCACCATGGAGGACAAACGCAACATCCAGATCATCGAGTGGGAACACCTGGACAAGAAGAAGTTCTACGTGTTTGGTGTGGCAATGACAATGATGATCCGTGTCAGTGTCTACCCATTCACCCTCATCCGCACCCGGTTGCAAGTTCAGAAGGGGAAGAGCCTCTACCATGGGACCTTCGATGCCTTCATCAAGATCCTGCGAGCAGATGGTATCACTGGCCTCTACCGAGGGTTCCTGGTCAATACCTTCACCCTCATCTCTGGCCAGTGTTATGTCACCACTTATGAGCTCACCCGGAAGTTTGTGGCTGACTACAGCCAGAGTAACACAGTCAAATCACTGGTGGCTGGTGGCTCAGCCTCCCTTGTGGCCCAGAGCATCACAGTACCCATTGATGTAGTCTCCCAGCACCTCATGATGCAGCGCAAGGGTGAGAAAATGGGCCGCTTTCAGGTGCGGGGGAACCCAGAGGGACAAGGGGTAGTTGCCTTTGGCCAAACCAAGGACATCATCAGGCAGATCCTGCAGGCTGATGGGCTTCGCGGCTTCTATCGAGGCTATGTGGCTTCACTGCTTACCTATATCCCAAACAGTGCTGTCTGGTGGCCCTTCTATCACTTCTACGCAGGTAAGCAGGGGCCAGGACAGTGGGGGAGGAAAGTGGGATTTCTAATGGGGCTGAGATACTGTTGCTTTGTGCATGTTAGAGTGGAGGTGAGATTTAATGGGGGAATGGATCATTCATTCAGCAAATGTTTGAATCCAAGAGGATTTAAAGATACATAAAACATAGTTTTTACTTTCAAGGAGCTTCTAATGTAGTGAGGGAAGCAGACAGGTAAAAAGACTAGAACAGTGTGTAGCATATGCTCTGTGTGCTTTGGAGTCACTGGAAGGTTGGGGAGGACAAAAGCCATGGGATGTTTAGGATTTGAAGACAAATCTGATGGGTAATAGTGAGCTTTTGAGTTGGATGTTTTCCTCCGCTTTTTTTTTTTTTTTTTTTTTTTTTGGATGGAGTCTCACTCTGTCACCTAGGCTAGAGTGCAGTGGTGAGATCTTGGCTCACTGCAACCTCCACCTCCCAGGTTCAAGCGATTCTTGTGCCTCAGCCTCCTGAGTAGCTGGGACTATAGGCGTGTGCCACCATGGCTGGCTAACTTTTGTATTTTTAGTAGAGATGAGGTTTCACCATGTTGGTCAGGCTGTTCTGTAGCTCCTGACCTTGTGATCTGCCCGCCTCGGCCTCCCAAAGTGCTGGGATTACAGGAGTGAGCCACCAGCCCCTCAGCATTTTAAATTCAAGGTGTGATATAACTTTGAACCTCTCCACTCCTGTGATGTATCTTTGTTCATAAGACATTTTACTTTTTAAGTATTTCCTATTTCCTAGAAATGGGGTTACTGAGTCAAATATGACATTTTTGAGGGCTTCCATAAACATACTGCCAGATTGCCTTCTCAAAGGGCACGATGCATTGTTGAAGAGCAGGACTTGGGTGTGTCTGCTACCCTGGGACATCCATCCACAGCTTTGAGTAACCACAAAACTCCCGTTAGGGAAGCCTATGTTTGCAGCCTCCCTAATCCCTGCTGTTGGCTCACAACCCTTGGTAATGGGCATTCTGTCCCACCCCATTGGAAACTTTTCTGACCAAAATTTTGATGCCTTCTTAACCTGTAATGATTTTGTTTCTGTGGCTCTGTACTTTCCTGGTGCTTTTTTGTTTTTCTGATTATTGCTTCTTCTTTCTTCTTCCTTCTTCCTCTTCTTCCTCCTCCTTTTCCCCCTCTTCTTCTTCCTTCTCTTCTTCTTCCTTCTTTTTTCTTCTTCCTTTTCTTCTTTCTTCTTCTTTTTTTGCTAGCTCTATTACTTCTATTTAGCACAATGCTTCCTCTGGGGTATTGTTAAAAGTCAGGTTCCTGGACTCTACCCTGACCCTTTAATGTTAAAAAAGCTTCCCAGAAAAAAAAAAAAAACAACAACAACAAAAAAAAACAACGCTTCCTAGGAAATGTGAGGATCTTCTCTGGAGTCTGTCTTTAGCCTTCTCTCCTCACTTGACTGCATTTACAATTAGAGCTGCATCATCCAGGCACAGTGGCTTATGCCTGTAATCCCAGCACTTTGGGAGGCTGAGGCGGGTGGATCACGAGATCAGGAGATCGAGACCACAGTGAAACCCCGTCTCTACTAAAAATACAAAAAATTAGCCGGGCGTGGTGGCGGCGCCTGTAGTCCCAGCTACTAGGGAGGCTGAGGCAGGAGAATGGCGGGAACCCAGGAGGCGGAGCTTGCAGTGAGCCGAGATCGCGCCACTGCACTCCAGCCCGGGCGACAGAGCGAGACTCCGTCTCAAAAAAAAAAAAAAAACAAAAAACAAAAAAAAAACCAATTAGAGCTGCATTTTTCTGATGTGCCCATCATCTCTACTTCCGTTCTCAGACTAGCCTGTGGAGAGCTCTGGACAGGCATTCTGACTGTAGGACTTCTCCATCTAGATGCATCTACTTATGTCTAAAACTTTCTTCAAGTAACTAGTATTCATCCCAAGCTGGCTGTCTTTTCTGACTTACTTTCATCGGTCAGTGGCCTTGTTATTCTTCAGATTACTGAGACTGAAGTCTTGGGGATTGTGCGTGACCACTCCTTCTTTCTTGTCCCCACGTCTAGTCCTGGTAACTCTAGAATTTTTCTCCCAACTTTCTCTTCATTCCTACTGCCTTCCCTGGGAACCATGCCTCTGTTACCTTCCTCCCAGACTGCTGCATCAGCCTTCTAGCTGTTCCCTCCTGAGTTCTCTTCCTTCCCGTCCATCACATACATCTCTAATGGACTGAACTTTTCGACTGGAGTTGTCATGTTCAGTGGCTTCCACTGCTTACTGAGTAAAATCCAAACTCTTCAGCCTGACTTCAGCCTCCCTTAACAGTGAAATCTCTTGCTTCTCCCCTAGGTATAGGCAGTCTGTGCTGTAGCCTGGGCAGGTAGTGCACAATTCCTCAACCATACGTCACCTCTCCTACCACCGTGTTTTGTTCCTGCCACCCCTCTACCTAGATGCCTCCCAGGTTTGCTTACCCCTGGTGCAATCATGACTTACCTTAAGTGCTCCTTATTGCCTCCTCTTCCTTCCTCTCCATGTAACCCTTAACCCAGAAGTGATCTTTCCCCTTTTTCATCCCCATGACATTGAATCTTTCTTAAGGCAGTTATACATTTGCCTTGATATTATTTGTGTGTGCCTTATCTCTTCTACTGAAGGGAGAGGAAACTAACATTTATTGAATGCCCATGTGTGCCAGGGCTCTGTTTGAGGGCTTGCATATCTCATAATTCCAATCTCACAATAACCCTGTGATGTAAGTGTTCTATAAGAACAGGGACCGTGTCTGTTTTTGTTCACTATTGTACCTCCCAACACCTAACTCAGGGTCTGGTGAACCTTAATTGCTCAGTAAATGTTTTTTGAATTAATAGACTGGTTCTTGCCACTCCCTTTTGCTTAAAATCTGCCAGTGCTGCCTTACCAGCATCTAGAATAAAATCAATTTTCCTTTCCATGGTCTATACATCTCTATTGATCTGACTCCTATCTGCTTTTCCAGCCCCACCTCGTGCCACTCTCCTCTTCCTCACTGCTCTTCCCTCAGTTTCTGGTATACATCAAGCTCTGTTCTTGCCTCAAGGCCTTTGCAGATAATGTTCTCTGCCTGGACATCCTTTCCCCTGTTCTTTATGTGGTTGGCTCCTTCTCATGCTTCAGGCTTCAGCTTACACATCACCTTTGCGAAAAGGACTTTATTCTATTGGAAAGAGGGCTCTTTCTGTTTTATATTTCAACACCTTCTTTCCTTCTTAGTACTTGTCATAATTTGCAGTTATTTTACCCCCAACTCCCAGCTCCTTAGAATATAAATTCCATGAAGGCATCTCCCTGTCCATGTCTCTGTTCTTTTTTTTTTTTTTTTTTTTTTTTTGAGACGGAGTCTCGCTCTGTCACCCAGGCTGGAGTGCAGTGGCCGGATCTCAGCTCACTGCAAGCTCCGCCTCCCGGGTTCACGCCATTCTCCGGCCTCAGCCTCCCAAGTAGCTGGGACTACAGGCGCCCGCCACCTCGCCCGGCTAGTTTTTTTTGTATTTCTTAATAGAGACTGGGTTTCACTGTGTTAGCCAGGATGGTCTCGATCTCCTGACCTCGTGATCCGCCCGTCTCAGCCTCCCAAAGTGCTGGGATTACAGGCTTGAGCCACCGCGCCCGGCCCATGTCTCTGTTCTATGTCTGGTACTTATGGTGGTGCCTGGCATCTATTATTAAGTAAATACTCATTTATATCATTAAATACTTGTCCAGAGTCAAGCCAGTCTTAGCCAAGAGGGATTTAAACCAAGTCAGCCTGAGTTCATCTTTTGCCTGGTAGATAAGAGATTCTTTTTTTTTTTTTTTTTTTTTTTTTTTTTTTTTTTTGAGACGGAGTCTCGCTCTGTCGCCCAGGCTGGAGTGCAGTGGCGCGATCTCGGCTCACTGCAAGCTCCGCCTCCCGGGTTCACGCCATTCTCCTGCCTCAGCCTCCCGAGTAGCTGGGACTACAGGCGCCCACAACCGCGCCCGGCTAATTTTTTGTATTTTTAGTAGAGACGGGGTTTCACCGTGGTCTCGATCTCCTGACCTTGTGATCCGCCCGCCTCGGCCTCCCAAAGTGCTGGGATTACAGGCGTGAGCCACCGCGCCCGGCGATAAGAGATTCTTAAATGTTTCTTAAATTACTAATGGAGAAAAATGAAAGATGTGGAGTCCCTCCTTTTCCTCCCTCCCTTCCTTCCTTCCTTCCTCTTCCTTCCTTCCTTCCTTCCTTCCTTCCCTCCCTCCTCCCTCCCTCCCTTTTCCTACTCTGTCGCCTAGGCTGGAGTGCAGTGGCACGGTCTTGGCTCACTGCAAGCTCTGCCTCCTGGGTTCATGCCATTCTCCTGCCTCAGCCTCTGGAGTAGCTGGGACTACAGGCGCCCGCCACCACGCCCAGCTAAGTTTTTTGTATTTTTAGTAGAGATGGGGTTTCACCGTGTTAGCCAAGATGGTCTTGATCTCCTGACCTTGTCATCCGCCCGCCTCAGCCTCCCAAAGTGCTGAGATTACAGGCGTGAGCCACCGCGCC